GCTTCTGTGAGAGTTAGGAAAAGAGAACTTCTCTGGGAGACAGAGACAGTTATAAAAGACTGCTCCTTGGGCTGCATCCAACTCCACTCTGGGGCAGGCAACTTGGCACAGAGCATAGGCTCTGTATCTGCTTCCAGTCTTTCCCCCAGGCATCTATTTTTGTTTATTGCACAAACTATGCAAATATATATAGCAGACCTGTAATGATGTGTTGAAATTTTAAAATCTGCTACTTGTAGGGAAAGCCAATCTAGGATTCAAATTCTTCTTACAAATTTCTCAAGCTGATATGAACAAATGACTAATATGTACAATATGTATGTATGTATGTATGTATGTATGTATATAATGGGTAGGTTGTGAGTTGAAGCAGGTTCGTGAGAACCTGCTGCCAGTGAAGCTAAGAGCATGGACTCAATTGCTTCACAGGCTAGTCAAGTTTTTCCTTCCCTGGAACTCAGGCTCTTTTAACAGGTCTAAGTCACACAGTCAACCCTATGAAAGGGTGTTGCCACACAGGGCAAATCCACCTTCACTGTTGGGAGAAAAATAAATGCCTTCCCTAGGGATGCTTTGTTCATACTTTGTTCAAGTGGTTCTAAAGGTGAAGAAATCATTTTCACATATGGAAGTCTATGCTCATAGACTTCCCTCCAGTTTATTGTTATTATAGCATTGAAATCTATTTTAAGTTGATTTACAATGATTATTACCTGATTTTAAAAGATTTCACTGAATTCTAGTAACTAAGGGTATATTAAACAGTTATTAAAGAAGGAAAATATTGTGGATTATGTGCTATCATAGCATACCAACACTTAATTTATTTGGCCCCTATTCAATTAAAAAATAGTTCCAGTTGTGTGATATATTCTTTGTTAATAATATTCATTTTATATTTATGCAAACAATAAGGCAGGTGCTAAATTTTTCAATTAAAAATGATTATTTCTCCTTTTTGGCATTTCCTTTGTTCTAATAACACTCATGTTTTTGAAATGAAGGGTCTGATATTAAGAAAAAGATTTGGTTAATTGACTTTGAACTCTTTGGTTAATTGTTGAATTCTTACTTTGTAAAAGATATTTAAGGGGATGTGGAAAGAGAACTGGAGTTAGGAAATTTACATTGTACAGTCAGCCTCAGGTGATTAATTGTACACTCAGCCTCAAGTGATAACTAATTGAAGATGTCTGAAGATGACTGACTAACAAAGAGTTACTTGAAGACTTAGATGTATATTTTGGCTACTGCTCCATACACTTAAAATACATTTGTTTTTAGAAGGCAGGCTATTTTTGCTGGAACTGTATAGCTGCCTAACGGGTGGGTTCTGGCTTCCACAGCTGAGATTATGGAGCCCTTTAGTGGGCAAATGGGCAGAGTGGCATTATGGTAGATGGCGCCATGATCTACAAAGGTGAGCTTACACAGGTGATTTAAAAACAACAGAATAGATGGAAATATTTCTTCTGGAACTTCACGATGCTGATATTTTAAGTATATGTCTCTAGGAGTCACCAAATTCATCAAGTGATGAAAGAAATACTTTGTTGATGCTATCATTGTTGAGGAATGTGTACCTAGTGCTTCAATACCAACACGTACAACAGAGAAAGTCCTGACACAGGTTGCTGCTCTCCTTGCTGATTAAGGTTGGAGGTGGGGGTGGCATGCGCTCTAGAGGGCAGTGTGAATTTCGGTCTGAGGTCCATTGTAAAAAGGGTAGCTTCTGACAGAGCCTCTGAGCGCAAAACGGTTTAGTTGAAGATTTGCTTCTTCGTCCATTTCCCTCTAAATTGCACTTTTTCCTTCCTGAAGGTAGTTTTAAAAATTAATTTTTCTTTCTCTTTTGCCTTTTCTTTATCCTTTCCCTTCATTTACTTTCCTTTATTTATTTACTCTTAACTAAAGGGGATCTTTATCCCTTACTGACACCAAGACTACTTTGCTAGCTTTCTGCAAATTACAAATAAATATTCGTGTAGTATAAATATGATATTTGATATTTTATTGTCAAAATGTTTTTGGAAAACAAGTACTATAAATTAATTTTTGTATCTATTCAGATGAAAATGTTTTGAAATTGACTTTCAAAGATTGAAGGGGTCCAACCTACAACTTTCAGTGTACAGGACAACGCTCCAACCAAGTAAGCCACTGGCCTGGGTTTGTCTCATACTCTCAAAGTAATTCAGTGGATATAGACACTCTCTTAGTGGATCTGAGGACATCTGGACTATCCGAGGATTTGAAAGAAATAGTGATTACATCACGATAACACAATCACCCAAGTTCCTGGGCCCTGTGGTAGAATTTCTTTTTTCAGAGGTCTGAGAGTGTAATTTATATATAAATAGTAATCAAACAATCTAAGACAGTTAATTCTGAACCAAAAATATCTTAGGATTATCTGAAGATTTATCTAAAATTACTTAAGATCTGAAATTACCTAAAATATATATATTATTAGTTTTCATTTCATTTCTTCTACCCCATTTGAATACCCTGTTCTCTCAGACCATGTGAAGAAGTTAGAAAATAATGAAGTTTGAGATATTTTTAAATTGTTTTTTTTTTTTTTTTTTTGCTGACGGGAATATTCTAGAAGAGAAGGAAAATGTATGGTTTAATTCATTCCTTGTAATATTAAACTCACACAGATGTCCTGGCTTAGAAGTGACATGGTCAGAAGAAAATGTGTCTGCTTTTTTAACACCTTAGCCTATTTGAATGCGCTCTTCTTTTCCTACTGATAGTTCTGCCCTTTATTCATGTTGGCAGAAGGAATTTCCCAGTCATGGGTCCTCTGAGGTGAATGAGAATCCATAAGTTTATTTTCAAAATTTTATCAGTTTAGTATATATCTATTTCATTCTGATAAAAACCAGCCAACAAATAAGCAACATTAATTGGGAGTTATGTTATTCTAGGTTAATAGAAAGGAAAAATAAACAATTATTACTAGATGCTACCTATTTAAGAGAGAACATATTTTAAATTGTGATCCATAGAAACCAAAGTTCTAAGGAGAGCTCTTTACAGTTGGAAAGTGGTTCTGGTTGAGTGTCATATTTCCTATAAGGATAGATCAATTTAGAAATTAGAATGATTCAAGGAATCCTGAAATTATGTGCATTTTCCTTATTTGCCTTGTTTACATGTCTTCTTTTTCTTTTGGATGACTTTTGATATATGTATATATAATTAGCTACTTATAAGGGCCAATTTTTTAAAAATCAGAGAAATTCCTTTGCAAAATTAAAAATATTTCATCAAAATACATTTAAAATTCTATTAAAATTACTAAAATATATTACATTGTTACAAAAAGTTTGTGACTAGTGGGAAAAATATAATTCATAAGCTCACCACTTTAATACAGCAAACATGATTGGTGTTTTATAGTCTATTCCTCGAGTTTTTAACATGTAGTTTTTTAAAGTGATAGTTGATAAGTAAATACAATTTTGTGATTTATTTTTTCACATAAAATGAAAATAGATACAATACATAAAATTCTTCATAGCTTTTTACTTATTTTAACGAATTTGTTATATCTACTGTGTGAATATGGAATAATAGGTATTATTTTCTTTATGTATTGGAAATTGTTAATTTTTAAAAACTAATTTATTTATCTTTGGAGGGGAAGGGAAAGAGAGAGGGATATATGTTTGGTGTATGGTTGCCATACAACCAATGTATGGTTGCCTCTTGTGCGTCCCCTGCTGGGACCTGCCTGCAACCCAGGCATGTGCCCTGACTGGGAATCCAACCATGATCCTTTGGTTCCCAGGCCTGCGCTCAATCCGCTGAGCTACACCAGCCAGGCAGGAAATTGCTAATTTTTATTTATTGTTAGAAACTCATATATATTCAAACCCACATTATTGTGCATATATTTTATTTTTAAAATTAATTTTTAATTATAGTTGACATATAATATTAGTTTCAGGTGTATGGCATAGTGATTAGGCATTTATATAATTTACAAAGTGATCCCCCCAATAATTTTAATACCCACCTGGGCCCATACCTAGTTATTATAATACTGTTGACTATATTCTCTATGCTGCACTTTAAATCTAGAGACTACTTCTATGAGTGGTAGTTTGTACATCTTAATCCCTTGTACATATATTTTATTATTAAAATAATTTGAATTTTGATTGAGTTTTCTGAAGTTTGTGACATTTAAAATAAACTCAACTACACTTAACATAACCAACACATTGTCCATGCTTTTACTGCCCCCTTTTAAAATCATATCAATATCATATTTTTCTGTGTCATGAAAAAACCAAAAGGAAAAATATGTACATTCATAGATATATGCACAAACACATCAAAATATATTGTATAATGATTTTGAGATTGTACTCTCTGACTTTAGATTATGCTACAATGTTTTTGGTGACCATATATAAAAATAAGTATTTGTTAACTAAAAAAACTAGGCAAATACTACTTTCTTCATAAGTATGAGTAATAATTTACCTGAAAACAATACCATAAGTATATACAAAGTTGAAAAATGTTGTTACTTCCTTAAAGAAAAACTTCAAGATTCATTGCATATTTAATATTTAGTAATGATACTATACCAGAAATAATAATACAGAATCCTCAAAAAAATTTTAAAACAACAGAAGAATTTTTCTACTGATTTTATTTTTTAATCTTCACATATTACTTTTTGAAAAGTAAAGTATATGGAAACAAAAACACTTCCTTATTTAAAAATACATTGTTATAATGCTAAGCCCTCTGTTTAGATCATTTCATTTTGCAAAAAAATTCAGTCAAAGCAGCCAAGAATCTTATTTAAACAACATCAAGCATATTATCTAAAAATATTTGAGTGCTGATGAAGTTTCCAGGAAAGTAACTAGAAGATTGCTAGACACAGCCAAAATTTCTTAAGCTTCTGAATATTTTTCATATGCTCTAAGATATAATAAAGCTTACAAAACTATAGAGGCAAAAAGAGGACTTACCTATACATTTTAATCCTGAATAATGATGAGGTCCTTGTTTTCGCCTGCTCTGAGATTTTCACTCAAATGAATGACTGTCTTATATTATGTGTGATCTATGAAAGAGCTGAAGTCAAAGGAGGAAATCCCACGTGATCATAATACCTAACTTGTTAAACAAGTCTGAAGGAATCAACTTGGACCAATAGTATGACTTGTGGAACAGAATCAGAAAGGGAATTTCACAAATCAGGGAGAATTTCATTCTGGTAATTTGTGACTCAGTACCATAACAGGTGACAGGTATCTCATGAAAGTCTGCAAGTACTCTACACACTACAGGGTATTTACTTTTCATATAAAGGTGTAACACTCTTGTCCTGTTATTATATTCTCACAGACCTCATTCTTTGCCATAGTGAGCCAAGGACTATCAGAAAATTCTTTTCTGATGTTAATGGGTAGTAGTACCTTTAAAATCTCCCCTTTTTTGAGGCAAAACACTGTTTTCTCAGTAGCATATGAAGAGAAGTAATTGAGTAGCTGTACAAAGTTATAGGATAAGCAAGAAGGATAGTTGAAACTAAAAATCACTTTGTCTTTTTCCAAGTATATTGTTTGAAGAAAGTATTCTAATTAATTTCTACTAGTAGATGAGTGGACAGTGGTGTGAAATACAAGTGTGTGGAGGGTTAGAGTTAGCATGGAGTATTGAGTGGTATTTGCAGGCAGGGAATGAACCCAAGAAAACATAGAAGCTAGGAAAATGTGGAAGTGAGAAAAACAATTCCTGTCTAGTATGGTGGAAAGAAATAGGAGATAAATTTGGAATTTATCTGGGGTTACTTTGTGAGCAATAATGAATGCTAAAGAATAGAAATGTACAATAGAATTATAGCTTTTTCACCAGCTAACTGGGTAGACTAGGGGGAAAAAACACTGATTCCTCTTAGAGTCTCATTTATCTACTGAGAAACAAGGGGGCCTTACAGGATGTTTTCAATTCTAAAATTCTATAACTTTATCTTGTAAATCACTGATAATTAATAATAAATTCACCCCAGGCTACGACTTAAGAAGTGTTCAATTATACATTTTTATATAATGCGCAACCAAACAACAGGGACAGGAATGAATGGGTTCTTCCCTTGCTTTCTCTTACGTATTTTCATGAGATCCTATATGTCATGCCTGGTATTCTGATTTTTTTCTTTCTTTAGTAAAAAGAATAAAGTATTATTTTAAACTTATAAAAAAGTAATTAAACAAACACATGTTAAACTTTAAGTACTTTTCACATGTACAGGCCTTTTTCACACAGTTATGTCAATAATGTATAACTTTGTATTATGTTTTTTATACTTAATGTTATTTCATAAGCACATCCCTGTATTAGTAATTTTTATTTCTAGTAGCTGTATTTGTATCCAAGAGCTGAATAACAAGTATATTCTAACTTTTTATTTTGATATATTTTGAACTTACAGAAAAGTTCCAAATAAGCATTATGCTGAGTGAAATACGCCAGGTGTTGAAAGACAAATACCATATGATCTTACCTTTAACAGGAAGCTAAACAACAAAACAAACAAGCAAGCAGAATAAAAACAAAGACACTGAAATAGAGAACAAGGGGACAGTGACCAGAGGGGGGAAGGAAGGGAATTTAAGGGGAAAAAAGGGGAGGAATTTGGAGGAACAAATAGGAAGGACACAGGGATGAAAACTAAGGGGGGTGGAAATGGGAGGGAGGTGGGGAGCACGGGGCGGGGTGGGCTGGGATGGCAGAAATAGACAGAAAACTGTACTTGAAAAATAACTAAATAAAATTTAAATAAATAAATAAAAAGAAAAGTTCCAAATATAGTACCTAGATCCATCAGTTATTAACAATTTTAATGACTGCATTTTAAGAGTGAATTATATTATACTGAATAAATCTTTCATAAAATACTGAAACCATTTCCTAACATGAAGTATTTAAATATTTTTTATTGGTGATGATTCTTTCAATGACCACCTTCACAAATATATCTAATTTTTCTTTGAAATAAATGAAATAAAAATAATTTATTTGGCCAATTATTTAAACACTTTAATGGCTTTTAAAATTTTAATTTTGTTTTAATTATTCTTTCAAGGATGTGAGATACTGTCTTCTGGTTTTTGTTGACAGCACTTTCCCCCAAGTACATGTGTTCTCTTTCCTCTGTGTTTCCTGGAGTGCTCAGCAAAGGCCTTTCCAATGAGTAGGGTCTCAGCCCAAATATTTTGTTTGAGTGTCCAAAACCTGAAGGTATTAATGCCGATCCTGGTGCCCAGTCACTGTTCACAACAGGGCTTGGGAATGAGTCAGGGGAGTGGTACGGGGGAGTGGCGCATACTCAGTCAGAAAGTGACTTCCTGCTCGCCTGCAGTGAGCTCAACACAGAAAGAGGGCTGGGGCGTGACATTATGGTTTGTGAGACAAGGATTTTCACGGGGACTAGTTCAAAAGATGCTGATTCTTTTAAAAGAGTTTAAAAATTTTTTTATTTACAGTTGGCATCTTCATGGGGACTAGTTCAAAAGATGCTGATTCTTTTAAAAGAGTTTAAGAATTTTTTTATTTACAGTTGGCATACAATATTTATTAGTTTCAGGTGTACAACATAGTGATTAGACATTATATAACTTAAGAAGTGATCACCCTGATAAGTCTAGTACCCACCTGACACCATACATAGTTATTACAATTATTGACTATATTCCCTATGCTGTACTTTACATCCCTGTGACTGCTTCTGTGGCTGCCAATTTGCACTTCATAATCCCTTCACCTTCTTTATCCCCTCAACCCCCTCCCACCTGGCAACCATCAATTTTTTTCTCTGTATCTATGAGTTTGTTTCTTTTTTGTTTTTCATTTATTTTGTTTTAGATTCCACATGTAAGTGGAACCACATGAGATTTGCCTTTCTCTGACTGACTTCAGTTAGCATGATATCCTCTTTATTCAGGTTGTTGCAAATGGTAAAATTTCATTGTTTTTTATGACAGAGTAATAATTCATTGCATCACATGTACCATGTCTTCTTTATACAGTCGTCTATCTATGGACACTTAGTTTGCTTCCATATCTTGTCTATTGTACATAGGGATGCAATGAACATAGGGGAGCATGTATCTTTTAAATTAATGTTTTGTATTTCTTTGGATAAATACCCAGAGTGGAACTGCTTGAGAAACTCCCATAATGTTTCCATAGTGGCTACACCAACTTACAATTCCACCAACAGTGCACAAGAGTTCCATTTTATTCATGTCCTTGCCAAAAACAAAAGATATTGACTCTTAATCTTAAGACCCTCAAAAAGTGGTGGGATAGGCCATGACCTTTTCTTTTTGTAAAAGGCAGCCATTGCAGGAATAAAAACAGAGAATGACATACAAAAAATATCGGAATTCTCTTCCTCCCTGTCATAGGCTTGACTTTATTCCTCCAGCTGTATATTCACAAAAACAAGGCAGCCAGTGTGAGGAGGACTGTTAGGCACAGTTTTCATGGAAAATAAAAGAGAAAATTTTTTTTGACTAAGGATAAATTATGCAGTGTATGAGCTATTGAAATTGATTCTTTTGTCTGCCTAGATTGTTGGGGAGAGATCACAATGAAGAGAGTATCTCCAAATAGGTTGTTATCTGTTAATAGACTGGGCTTTGAAAGAAATATGAATTACTCAGCGGTGTCCATCATAACAATACAAGCAGGAAAAAAATAACAATGAGAAAGCAGATGATCTAAGAGGGTGTGGGCCAGTAGTAATTTGTCTGAATGTGAAATTTGATTACTCAAGTTCAGGGCAGTGCAGTCATGCAGCTATGTGTGGTGATGCATGTGCCATGACCTCTGTCACGTGGTTAGAACAAAGATAGAAAAACAAACACAATGGATGTGTCTACCATTTAACATGAAATGTTATTTATATACAAGTTTTGCATTTATTGCAAATGTACATTTAAAATTGGATAATAATTGAATTTTGTAAGTGTAGCCAAGTTTAATTTTGTAGATTATTACATATAGGTAGTTGGAGGTAAGGGAATCAGTACATACCACTATATTTCAAAGGCTTTTGTGTTTTCAGAAGGCGTGTTATAGGGAAAACAGTATGCAATTTTGGGTTAAAAATACCTATAATCAAATCTTGGCTCTTCTATTTACTATTCAGCAGGGTTTAGAAAAGTTTTTTGGCCCTGAAAGCCTCAGTCTTCTTTTGTGTACATATGAAGTTAAAATAACATTCTCATAGAATTGTGAAAATTGAAGTCAATCAAATCACCTGATGAAATTAAAGCCCCTGGCATGTTCTACAAATGCAGTCATTCCTTCAGCGCTAACTCTCAAAGCAGTTCGTGTGCATACACGTGGAGAGTCAGAGTGCTGAGAGGCAGAGAGCAGGAACAGTTGCAAAATAACCCCGGATGTTAAAGTGCCTTCCTCCCTGGATTCATATACACGATTTGGCTAATCCAAATCAGTCATATTCCTAAACCATTTGCTCAAACATGGTTTAAGAAATACAGCCCTGGCTGGAGTAGCTCAGTGAATTGAGTGTGGGCCTGCGAATCACAGGTTCTGGTTCGATTCCCAGTCAGGGCACATGCCTGGGCTGCAGGCCAGTTCCCAGCAGGGGATGCATGAGAGGCAACCACACATTGATATTTCTATCCCTAACCCTTCCCCTCTAAAGATAAATAAATAAAATCTTTAAAAAAAAGAAATCCAAAGCTCATCACAACCTGTGATTACTTTCATGTTGACTGACAGTTATTTTCTTGTGCTTTCTACATGACTTTTTTTTTAAATCAGAGTCTACTACTAAGAAGCATCCTCATCATAGGTTCCCTCTAGTCTTGTTAAAGGAAGAAGTAAGTATTCTTTCCCCCTCTTCTAAGTTTTCCGCATCAGTCTCCTTAGAACTACACAGAGCTATTTTCTTCTTCAGAGGGCTATTTCTACCTTCATACATACATACACACATTTGATTCCTGCACTTCTCCTCCACATTCAGAGAAGCAATGAGGACAAATATATATAATACATATGTATATACAACCCCATAATTCCTGTCACCAA